TGGGGTCGCACTTCCGGTCCTGCCAGGGCCTCCGATCTGCTGCAGGACCCCTGGGGAGCCCGGCGCGACCCTGCCCAAGCCACCCTCGACGGCGTCCCACGAGGCTTTCCTAGGGCTCCACAGTCCCGGGTTTCCACGTGATGATTTTAAGGGTACCGAGGAAGCCCCCCTCGATAGTCCAGCCTCGGGTGGCCAGCGGCGTGACACGGAGCCAGCCGTCACCTCTGCGTCCCTCTCCACCGAGCACCTTCGTAATCCGCAGCAGCCTCTGCTTTGGACTGGCTGCGGGTGTCCCGGGGTGGCGCGAACGCGTACGCGGCAGACGATTGAGCTCTAAGCCTTACTGCGGTCAAGGACGCACCTCCGGGAGCCCCTCTCGTCCTCTCTGTCACCTGGTCCTCCTTCCCGCGCAGCTTCCGGCACCGCTGTGGCCCGACGACCTGCACGGATTACATTCAGTGGAAATCTGGATTTTGGAGAAAAGCCCGGCTCGGCGGCTGCACTCGCCTCCTTTCTGTGGCGCGTGCAGCGAGGGGGTTAGTGGGTCAGTAGTCTCCTCCTGCGCTGCGGTTCTTAAGTTCAAATATCGACCGTGTATGTGGGGTGCAGAAAGTCTGCAGCGGAGAGGGATTAGCCTTGGGGCGGCGCGCCTGCCTCTCAGCCACCCCTCTCTCGGCTAAGCTGGCCATCTCCCAGCGCCACGTACTAACTCGCTCCCAGCGCGGGGCGCCCCGCGGGCGCAGCCTGCAGAGACCAGTGGCTTCCTGGCTTTAAATGCGTGCTTTCGGCTCCATCCTCCATCTTGCATTAGGGGCAAATTGACAGGCACGTCGGGCTGTTCCTGGCACCTCGGCTCTGCGGTGTGAAGGAATTAAAGAAAATGGGCTGCGAGTGTTCCCCGCGGGCGGGCCGGTATTGCGTGGACGTGAGCCTGGCACCGCCAGAGCGCGCCCTCGGGAGGGGACTCTGCACGTGGGAGCGCGGGCGGAGGAGGAGTGGAAGCTCTTTTAATCCCTAGTGACGGGTGTGCTAGAAGGTGCAGCCCGCAGGCCGCCTGAGCCCTCGCTGGCCGCTTCAGCCAGGACCGGTATCTTCCTGGGGAACCCTGGCGAGGCTCACCGGATGTCACAAGGATGGACTGGGGGCCGGCGTGGCCACCCAGCGGGTGACGCTGCAGAGATGCCCGCTTGCGCCCTAGATCTGCCCGGCAGAGGAAAGTTGGGTCGATATTCAAACTCTGCCGGCAGAAATGGCCGGAGCAAAAGCAAACATCTAAACCCCTGTGGACGCACGGCTGGCGTCCCACGGACTCGCTGTCCGTCACTTCCGGTCCCTGCACTTGCAGCCCAGCCCCGTGGGTCGCCTGGCCTGGCCCCGGATGCTTCCAGGCTCAGCGCCACAGCCGCCCTCTGGGTCTCTCCAAGTCCTAACAGGCGACCCCACATCCCCGATTTGATCCAAGTGGGGGCTCCTGTGGCAGGGGCAGCACCTGGATTAGAGCAGACCAGAGTGTAGAGCCAGCCCCCAGCCCCTCAGCCCGTGTCATGGTCAGGAACCCTGGGCCACTGACACTCGCCCAACTCTGAGCCTCAGTTTCCCCATCTATAGAGACGGTCTGTCTTGTGAATGTCCCAGGGCAGGTTTGCAGGCTCTATTTGTCCACGTGCTTGCTGACAGTGGCCAGGAGGTTTCAAGCTGGGTCAGTGTGGTGTGGCCAGGACCCTCCCTCCCCCACCCGGCCCCCCTCCCTCCTCTCCCTCCCTCGCTTCCTTCTTTTCCTTTCCCTGATATAATTCATAAACCCTAAATCTACTCCTCACTTCAGTGCATCTCAGGATCTGCCCAGCTGCCCCAACCCTCACCACCAGCCAATTCCAAAGTATTTTCACCCCTAGGAAACCCAAGCCCTGGCCTCCACAGACTGACCTGTGGCCTCTCTGGCCTGACCTGTCTCAACATGTCATTTGAAGGGAACTGAGAAGAGCATCCCTCTGTCTCAGGCTCCTGTTCTTAGGGTGACACTCCCCCAATTTGCCCACATGGTAGTGTGTGTCCTTTTCAGGGCTGAATCATACTCCACCGTGCACATGGCCCAGGCCCCCTCCCTCTTTTCCTCCACAGAGACCTTGTGGGGGGCCTCTCCTGCCCACCCCACAGATGAACCTGGCCAGTCACCATCCTAACATTTTCTCAGTCACTCTGCAAACCTGAATCTTTCACACACTCCAGAAGGAATTCTCTACTCTTTATTTAAAAGTTAAAAATAAAATTTGTCCAGAAAGTGGCCAAAGCAGGTCACATTTACAAGGACAGGTGCCAAAGTGTGTTTTCTCAGGAGCCTCAGGCTTTTTTGTAAATTTGAAATGACAGTGACGTAAAGTGCCTGGTGTGACCAATCCCCTCACAAAAGCCACAGAATGTTCTTGAGCTGCACAGGGTGGAGGCGGAAGGTCAGGAAAAGGAGCGAAGAGACCACAGCCCCCCCCCCACGGGCCTCGGGACGGAGTCCTGCCCTCGCTGAGGAGATAGTGCTGACCCTGTCCACCCAAGGGCACCACGCTAGGCCCTGGAGGCTTCTCAGGACAGCAAAGGGACCAAGTGACAGCAGCAGCCACTTCTCCAGAGCAGCTCTGGGGACAGAATAAGACAAAGCCCGATCCCCTCAGCCCAGCTGGGGACAAACAGGGCTCTGGGCACCTCACTGTCATCCGGGCTCGTCTACATAGGTGTTGGGGGGCAGGCCTGTGACCCAGGATCCCTGTGAGTTCCAGGCAACCTGGACTGGGGGTGTGGCAAGGAAGAAGAGGAGAGAGGGAGGGAGAGAGGTATTTAGGAGGGAAGGAAGGAAGGAAGGAGGGAGGGAAAGAGGAAGGGAGGTATTCGGGAAGGGTATCAAGCAACATAGAGCCTGTCAGCACCACACACAGCACTCATATTTTTAACTCTTTGTCTTCCATGACCTTGATCTTGACCTTGGGCTTCCTCCCCCACAATCCTCTATTGACTGCCCCCAGCCTGTGCGGCTCTGCTAGGCAGCCAACATCCACATGTGGCGGCCAGAGATGACTGACCAGAATGTGAGCCCAGAGCCGGCGCCCGGGCAGAAATAGGGACCCAAGAGCTGGGAGGGGGGTGAGGGTCCAGGGCAGCGGCTGGCAAAGCTGGCGAAGAAGCCAGGACTCTGCACTTTCGCCCCCCACCAGGGTGTTAGCCAGGACAGGGAGTTTTACCTACGAGGAGATGCCCATGCGTCTCGGGCAGCACATGGGAAAAGCGGCTATTTTCGCCCCTTGATTGCCGCTTCTGTAGCTGCGGATGCCCCGGAGTCGATCCGGTCAGTGAAAAGTATCTGATGTCCGGCGGCCTTAATCTTTGGCACTGCAGTTCCCAGAGAGGGAGGGCTGCGGTGGGAGGGTGAGTGTGCGCTGTGTGCGTGTGCATGTGTGCATGCGTGTACACATGTGCGTGTGCAAGTGTGGGAGTGGGCGTGGGCGCACATGGGAAGCCGCATCGGCCTTAGGAACTGACCACAATTAGTCCACGGGGGAACGTATTGCTCTAATTGAAGCCTGCCACCAAGAGCAGCCGCATAGAATGACCCCAGCATGGAACCAGAAGCTCCCGGGGCAGATGCAGGCCACGCAGCGCCATTGGCATCTGGGACGCTGGCCGTGGGAGCGTGGGCAGGCTGGGCTCGCAGCTGTCCGAAGCGAAGCCACTTCACGCTGTGGCAGCTGGTTCGAAGGTCGGTGCGGGCTGTGCCGCTGGACTCCCACAGGGAGGGCGAGACCCGAGACCGGCTGGCGTGCTGCGAGGCCATCAGGAAGCAGGGAGATCCTTGGCCAGACCCAGTATCCCAGTGAGGAGGGTGGCCCAGGCAGGCGGGGTGCTGCACCCAGGGGCTGGAGGCCTGGGCAACTCAGCAGGACCGCATCTCAAATCCAAAACTGAACAAAACCGTAAAACCCTGAGGACCTGTGTCCACAGCCGGCCCATAGCCTCAGGAATCTGGGACGGAAGCTCTGGACGCGCCAGCTCTTCTGATAATGTGACCCTGATCCCTGAAAACTCCACTCTCCCGTGGAACCTGTCCCATCAGCTGGACATCTGCATGTCTGTCCTCCTCTGGAGCCGGTGGACCCAGTGCCAGAGAGCTCAGGTCCTAGGCGGGGTGACCCACGAGCCATGGTTCAGACCTTGTCTCTGTCCCTCCAGGAAGACCTCTGCTCCCACCCCACAGCCCCACGGCCTCTGGGTTTCCTTCTCAAAGCCCTGCCGTGGCCCTGAGACCCTGAGTGCCACCTCTGATGTGGAGGTCTGGGTCCCTGGGGGTGCAGGTGGGGGCAGTCTCAGGGCTATGCCCCTCCCAGAATTCCCGGGCGTGCCCAGCCCTCCCACCCTGAGAGCCTCCCCCAGCCATGTCTCTTCACCTTGGGGGCTGGGGAGATACCTCAGTAGAATAAGCACTTGTCTGGTAAGCGCAAGGCCCTGAGTTCAATCCTCAGTTCCGCAAAAAAAAAAAAAAAAAAAAAATAGAACTCTCACCTCTACCACGATCACTGGAAGAAGGACCTCAGGTCACATTGGGCCCACCCAGGTCACCTAGGCCTGAGTGCCCCTCGAAGTCCTGAACACAGCCCCATCTGCAAGGTTGCTCTTGCCCTATCAAGTGACAGCATGGGCATCGTTGGGGACTCCGACTCACCAGCCCGTGGGCTCCTTCAAGGCGCCCAGCATGGAGTCTGCGCTTTGCACTCCAACCCCGCCCGAGGTGGCCCTTCTGCCTGAGGGTCCACGCTCTCCCACCATTAGGAGGTGGGGGCCCATCCCACAGAGGCCAAAGGGTCAATCCTGGGCCCGGGCGGCACCTCCAGCTCAGTCCTAGGCGAAATGACAGCGTGACCTGTGTGAAGCAGGCCACCCAGCGGGGCCCTCGCGGGGCCCGAGAAGCAGCAGGTGGGGCCAGAATCCCCGTGACCCTGTGTCTGGCTCCTGTGCAGGACGCCGAGATCCTGAACACGGCTGTCCTCACGGGCAAGACGGTGGCCACGCCTGTCCGAGTCGTGTCGGTGGAGGAGAGCGGGGCAGTGACGGACATCTCAGAGCAGGTGGAGTGCACATCAGCAGACGAGGATGTCATCAAGGTAAGTGGCAGGGGATAGGGACAGGGACAGGCCGTGCTGGAGAAAGAGGCCCGATGGGGTCCCTTCCATCCCTTCTTCTCGGCATTGCGCCAACCTAGCCGCTTGCGTTTTCCTCCCTCCTTTCCTTCCTCCCTCTGTGCCCCCTCCCCCTCCCTCCCTCACTCTCTGTACTTACTTCACTGATAAACATTGGATATCCTGTTTTGATTTGCCTTTTGCGTTTGTGGTCCTGGGGATTGAACCCAGGGCCTTCACACCGAGCTACAGCCCCAGCCCTTTTTATTTTTTATTTTGAGATGGGGTCTTGCTAAGTTGCCCAGGTGGGGCTCAAACTTGCCATCCCACTGCCCCAGTGGGGCATCCCGGATGCCAGCTTCACGCATTGTTGTGCGTGCATTGTGGGTACTGCTCAAAGGGTACAAACCTGAGCGGGGCACAAGCTGCCCCTCCGCAGGGCTCCCCCAGCACGGGAATCTACCCAGAGGACGAAATCCTCCTTCTGGCCTGGCAAAGCCAGGAGGGAAGCAAGACCTAGGAACAGAACCCACAGTGTCCCCTGCACTGCAGGCCTCAGCCACTCAGAAGCGATCTGGACGAGGAGCCCCTTGCTGGTGTTTCTGGGAACATCATCAGCACCGTTGGGGAAACTGACACGTTCAAACTGGAAGTTTTGCCTCCTAAAAGCATGGGACGGATGCCCGGCTATGGATGGAGCAGGGTGGGGTCTGAGTGAGCCAAAGCAGGGGTGTGGGGCAGGTGGCCAGCATGCCAGGTCATAGCCCTGGAGGCAGGTGGTGGCTCGGGTCGGATGGCCAAGGGTGCCACAGAGCTAGGTGGGCTGAGGCTGGCACGCAGTGGGGGAGGGGAGGGGACCATAGAATGTCACTGGGCTCCCTGCTGGTTTGTGTCTGGAGCTTCCAGTGGGGCCTGGAATCTGAGTGCTCCGACCAAGCTGGTGAGGCAGCCGGCCCTGTTGTGTGGGCACTGGGGGGGAGAGCAGATCCCAGCAGCACAGCACAGAAGGCCGGGCGGATGGCGGGCAGCGAGGTGCGCACACGGTGGCACCCAGAGCGGGAGGAAACAGGCTTGGTGGCAGACAGCACTTAAATGCAAGCAGTCCGGCTGGATCTCCTGGATGGGGTCCGCTGCTTAGCGGGGTCACCAGCGTGGAGACCCCAGCACGACTCTCAGCTCTAGAGAGAGGCACAGAGAAAGACTTGCTCGGCCTGTCTGCCAAGCGAGCCCTCGCTGGCCTCACACCCAAGTCACTGAGAGAGCACAGCCATGGAACAGGCTGTCAGGCACCTGCCCTGATCCCCACCACAGGGACACCCTGAGCTCTAAGTGCGCACGCCCCTGGCTCCAAGACAGTGTGGGACGGAGATGCCAGACAAAGCTACCGCGGAGAGTCACTCACAGCGACTTCTTGGCTTGTCATCTCCAAGACCCGTGGCTTATGTGGAAATGCACTGTTCATTTACAAATATCTGAAAACTTTTTTGAGGGGGCCGGGGAGATAGCTCAATGGAATACATGCTTGCCTGGCAAGCGCAAAGTCCTGAGTTCAATCCCTCATGCCACCAAAAAAAAAGAATATAAAATGAAAACTTTGAGATGGTTTTGTTGTGTAGCTCAATGACAAAGACAGTAGAATCCCGCGGAGGTGGTGCGGCCACAGTAGGGACCCTCCTGCTGGACAGTGCTGGGGACCAGCAGCCTCTGAGCAGGCGACGTTGAGTCACCGAGCTGGAGAATCGTGACCACTGAGACCTGGGCACCCGGGGACTCTGTGGTGGCCGCACCCAGCCTGCGCTTCCCGCAGAGCTCCTGTGACCCAGGCCGCAAGGCTCTGGGGGCCATGGGGTGGGGTGCGGAAGGGGTGTGAGACTCCAAGCTTCGCGGGAGGCACACATAGGCTGACTTCCCTGAAGCCCTCAGCCGCCAGGACGCGACTCCAGAGAGCGGATCCTCCCAGAGCTGCAGGTATGTGCACCCCGACCGGGCCGGGGACGCGGAGCCGCCTCCCCTGACGACGGCCGGGTGGTTCCCTCAGCCCCAACTATTGGCGCTAAGGCTCTTCCCCCAGAAGTACCACTGTGGGCTTCCTGAGCTCAGGGGCTGCGGGGGAGCCTCGCTCTTGGGCCACACAACCACCAAAAAGCCTGCGGTGTTTGTCACTGCTGGGGGGGGACGCACACAGCAGCCAGGGGACTCTGCATCCCAAGGAGGCAAAAGCGACTCTCATTTCTGTCCCTCGAGCCCGGGGCTTAGGAAGAAGTGTGTAGAAGCCTTGATCCACAGGGCCATTTTTCCCAGAAAGGGAAGAAGACAGCAAAGGCTGGGACAGGTGGCAAAGTCCACAAGTTCTGGGCTTGAGGCCAGCGAGGGCCACGCCTGCCACGCCCCTTGGTGTGCCTGGGTCCCCAGGGTAGAGGGAGGCAGCTCCTTCCAGGGGAGTTCTTCCAGCACCCTCGCCCTCGCTGTCCAGGACTCAGAGTGCAGCCTAAAGAGCGCACTTCAGCGCTCGCACCTCGGCCAAGCATGGTGGGGCACGTATGTCACCCCAGCTCCCTGGGAGGCTGAGGCAGGAGGAGCACTGTGAGTCCAGGCTGTGCAGCGACACTCTGTACCAAATATAAAAAAAAAAAGATGTGTGTCATGTTCAAGACACTCCCGTATAGAGAGACAGGGCCGGAGGAGTGTCCGGCACAAGGTGTTGAACCAGCGCTGGCCAGCACAGCAGCGGTGGTCGTGGCAGCCTCAGCAGTGGCATAGGTCAGCGCAGAGCTGAGGCCACTCACAGCAGAGCGCTGCCCGCTGACCGGCTGGCGCCAGGACTTGGTCTTCTTTGCCTAATCACTGTATTAGGCAGCTACTGTGTGACAGTACTGCATGACAAAACAGCCCCACGCCCGGCCGCACGCCACCGCAAGCATGCATGGGTGACTCCCCCCAAAGCCCAAGCTGGACGAAGCAGCCTCGCTGGGGCCCTGGCTGGCTGGCCTGGAGCCCAGGCGAGTTAGGCCCTCAGGTCCGCTCCATGTGTGTCCTTCTGGTGTTCAGAGAAGCTGCACTTTAAAGGCCCTCTTCCCGTGGTACCTCATGGACCAGACGTGGCCAGGCCAACCACGCCAGCACCCCCGGGCCTCGGTTTGCCATCGTCCCACCTCACAATGGCCTTAAGGAATCCTGCAGCAAATGTAGCATTCACTCTTCCTTCGCACAGATTTTTATTGCTCACCTGCCACATTCTGGGGACACTACCCCTGTGCCGCCCACCCAGCAGGTGGCTTTTCTGCTGGTCTGGCAAGATTACAGCAGGAGACCCTGCAAGTCCCCTTCTACAGAGAAGGAAACAGGCCCAGAGAAGGTGCAGGAATTGTCCAACCCACAGCAGATGAGCAGCCAGAGATCCGAATTTGGCTCTGCAAGACCTTCAGGCCACGTGGTCTCCAGCTCTGTGGGCGGAAGTGGCATGAGCATGTGGCACCCCAGACGGACCATAAGGCTGACCTGAGCCACGCCAGCCAGGGTGCTTGCCAGCAGCCAGCAGACGCTAAACACAAAGTGAGAGATCGGCTGTGCGGGCCGCCTTCTGGGCGCCGGAAGCCATCGCGGCTGGTGGCCACCACGTTGGTTGTCGCACACAAGGACCCTGGTGGGGCACGTGGGTCGTCAGCTGGGAGGAGCTCTGCCCCAGGCTCACCCTGGGGAGAGGCCACTGGGCAAAATCAGGTCTGGAACTGGCCCAGAAAGAGCAGGTTGCTCTGACCCTGAGCTCCAAGCCACGAACACTCTGACCTAATAAAAAAGACCTGCATAAGAGAAGAGCCACTGCTGCATGGGCCACTGTACCAGACGAGGGCGGCCGTCTGCGTCTGCATGGAGGACGGGCAGCTGGAGTCTGTGTCCTGAGAAGCTCCCTGAGGGGCCACGAAGGCCCTGCCAGGGGCCAGATCCGGGCAGGGCTCGATGCTTCGGCCCCGGAGAGGACAGAACTCCGGAGAGCAGTTCTCTTCCCGGGTCTGCTCCTCCTCCTGCCCAGCCTTACGGTCCCTGCCCGCTGTGCGACCCTCTGCTGCAATCCCTGAGCACAGGAGCTTGGCCTCAGCAGCCTCTGCCCGCTGTGCGACCCTCTGCTGCAATCCCTGAGCACAGGAGCTTGGCCTCAGCCGCCTTCGGGGGCCAGCTGGTCACATCTTTGTTGACAGTCAGCAGTTACTAAATATTCAAGATGGCCAAACTGAATAAACAAGGGGAACCTCTTACACATGGAAGGTCTGGGCAGCGGCGACCTCAGGCACAGGTGGTCTCCTGGCCAGAGGAGTGGCCGCGTCGCAGGGGCACCCCGCAGTGTAGCCGGCATCCCGACCTTCGGGGGCATGGGGCTGTGGACAGGCCCTTGGAAACACTTCAACAACTGCTACAGAAAATACAGCAAGAGACATCAGGCGGCAGGAATAACACGGGTGTGCGGTGAGGCACCTTCTTCCTGAACCCCCAACTCTGAGCTCCTACAGAATTCAGAGCGGCCAGGCAGGGCGGCTCCATGACCACCATGATCTCGCACGTCTCTGCTCCTGTCCTGCTGCTGAGACGTGACTGGGAAGTCGCACGCGGTGGGGGTGAGCCGGCGAAGGTTCCCAAGGCGCTCGCCCCTTCTATCTGAGGATTAACACGTTATGCAACTGAAACTGAATTAATTCAAAAGTAAGGCGGCTTGGGGTTTTTTCTGCAGTTGGTTCTGGTTTTGGTTCCTACATGTAGAAAGCAATAGATTTCTGCCTTCGGAGATGGCTGGATCCAGGAGCTCAAGTGAAGAAATGTCTTATTTCTGGCTCCCTGGCTCTGAGCTCAGGGTCTGCTGGGCTGACAGAATTCTCAAATTGTATGTCCTAAGAGCAAGGAGCTCTCCGACGGCAGTTTAGCAAGCAAAGATTTATCAGAAAAGAGCAGGTAACTTCTGCCCAGGCTGGACTCTTCCTGAGATTCCCTGATTG